TGTGGACAATGTTGACATTGGCAAATGTGTGGTACTCCCCTTTAAAATTGAATTTTATTGAGTGCTTGAGTCAGGACTTAAAATTTTAACAGAAGATCAATGTGACAAAAATTGAATAAGGGGACTGTGACTTCCAGATCGAACTCTGAGAGTCTGAGACAGTAGGTAAAATATGACATAAAGAATATTTGGTAGGGACTTACAACCTACTTCCAAGTTATCATGGTATTTGATGTTCAAGATACATGTATCAAAGTCATTGACATTTTTCAAATAATCAAATATTACATGTATAATATTTAAGCAAAATGAAATTTTACCATAAACAGACATGAAACTAAAGATTTATAGCACTTTGGTGATGCTGTGAAAATGTTTGATTGAGATATGAAGACTTCGTGTTTACACACATCAAGCTACAGTATGTTGATTTTAAGGAAGTACAGTTAATTCTCGATAAACCGCCACCTTTTGTAATTTAGAAATCATGGCGGTATAACGAATTTGGCGATGAATTGAGTTTTCCATCTTTTAGGAAATAAGACGTAGAGTTATCGTTCTTAGAAATACCATTTAGTGTTTCTATTCTTATTACCACATGTACATGTATATATAAGCATATTTCTAAAATTGAAAATACTTCAAGTAATTTTTTTATTGTACAATTTCGCTAAAACAAAATATTCAGTTATGAAATTAAGACAAGTACATGTGTATGCATGTAAATCTGCACGTCTGATATTGAAAAAAAAAATGCTGGGTCGATCGTCGTGATATATTGCCTATAGTACGTAAAATAAGTTCTTGAATAAATTCATTGTTTATGAAATCATTGTTAATGAAACGTTCACAATTTCTGACTTATATTTTTTTTTAAGCAAAACTTTGCATTGTTTTTAAAACAGAGATTATCAAATAAAAATAATATCGTTATCGGCGTACTTTACAACGACCGCTTTCATGGCGAAGCCTTGACTAAATGATTTCATTAAACAGAGAACAAAATTATTCTAACAGTTCATTTTCAAATTATTGTTTACTTAATTGCATGTACCTTGACTGGCTTTGTATGCTTTACAACAGGATAGCGTCAACCAATTAGCCGCGCTTCACTGACCACATCCACCTGTGGCGGTATTATCGAGATAATTGACACTTAAAAATGGACGTTTGTTGTGAAAACAGGGTGGCGGATGGCGGTATGCGAATTTGGCGTTATAAAGAGAATTTTATATAGCAGGAAAAACGCTCTTGGAAAATGATGGCGGTATTGCGAAAATGGCGATGAATCGAATGGCGATAATTCGAGAATTGACTGTATACTAATATGTACAGCGAAACTCAGTTATAATGAAGTCACTGGGACCTTTGAGATTACTTTGCTATATCCGTATTTCATTATATCCTAAATTATAGGAATTTCATTAAATTTATAAAGCTGGAGATCCAAGATGATTTTGCTCTATCCATGAATTCGCAAAATCATTGTTCCTACGAAACAAGATTGATTGTACTTTTAATATCACATGAATGAGGATCACAAATCATGACCATGTGTGTTATCTTTTATACCCTGCACAGAAATGCTTGGACAAATCCTTCCCAGTATCCCATCCGCAGTGTCGACTTGTATAAGGACAATTTGACTGCATGGTTAACTTTATTATCCGTCAGTAAGACCTTCAGGAACTCCCCGTCAGGACTCAGTAGATGGATCTGTTTGTTGCTAGGGTCAGTTACAAGGATGTACTACATCAGTTGGATAAACAGAGTATGTAAATGATATAGAAATATAAATTCACAGTTAATAAATCTGTGAATATTATACAATTATGGACTCTTTTGTGTGTTGAATATGGTTTGTTATTCGCCAGAAAAATATCAGAATTGACCAAGGCGAAGCAATTATACGTCATATTGATGAATTTGATGATATTTATGCACTTCATGAATTTTGCCATTTGTACTGAAAGATTTTAACAAGTCCTTCATTGTATCCCACCCACAGTGTAGACTTGTATAGGGACAGTGAGTATGGTTGGTTCACTTCTTTCTCTGTCAGTAAGAACTTCAGGAACTCCCCGTCAGGACTCAGCAGATGAATCTGTTTGTTATGAAAGTCAGTAACAAGAATGTTACAGTGAGAGTCACACACTACTTCAATTGGTTTAAACTCCTCTGTTGGGTTTTGTCCACGGTAGACAGACTTCATTCGACCAGAGGAAGACATAATCACTAGTTCAGCTGTAGGGTCACTTGTACGGTTCACAACACAGATATCACTGTTACTGTTCTGTGTGACTCTGATTGGCAATGTAAACAGTCTGGTGTGTCCGTCCTCCTGGTACTCATACTCACGGACGACATCACCTGTCACTGTGACGTGTCTCACCAGACGTCTGCTGTGTGACTTTAACTTGTAAAGATCTGATTCCTTGTCTCTCAAGGTGACCAGTAGTCCACCATCCACTGACTGACAGATTCCTATTGGTACCAGTGGATTTGTACTGATGACTATAGACAAAGTTCCTGATGGCATGAGACAGTGGATAGTGTTGCTGATTGACTTGTTACTACCATCAGTGAAATAAATATCCCCGTTATCAGTCACACACATGTCATTTGGAATGATACTAAATTTCTGTTCTTTTGCTCCTTCCTTGGTAACTTTTTCTGTATATTCTGAAACAATATCTGTTATGAAACATTTTTCTTCACTGAATGCTTCCAGCACATCAATTGTTTTATCTCCATATTGAAATGAGGTTATTAGAGTTAAGTCAATATCTACATCAATAGTTTTTCCTATCAAAGACCTAAGTAAGTCATCATTGATTTCCCCTCTAGTGAACCTCACTGAATGTTCACAGTTTGTCATATGAACCTCCAATTCTAGATCTGACAGCATTTTCCTCAGTTCTCTGTGATTGTCAATCAAGTTGTAATCTGACATGGTGCTGTTGTTCTCCTCCATGAATTCTACTGTGTCAACAATTCTTCTCCTTTTCTTCTCTAACTCAGATTTCTCATGGTTCGGTTGATCATTCTTTTTAACTAAATCGCCTCTCAGTGTTTGTTCATGATGTTTTCTGATTTCTGTCAGTTTGGCCATTATCTCATCATAATGCTTTTGAAGCTTTTTAATGTCAGAGTCACACAGCTCTTCATTTTTTGTGATCTGTTTTGACATCTTCTCTATCTTCTCATCAATCCCAGGCAGATCATCTTCCTTGATCTTCTTCAGAAATCTAAGCAGACCCCGTCTCCTTTGCATGGCTGCCGTTGTTAGAGTTTTCCAGTTATGATCTCTATGATCTGATTTTGCACAATCACCACAAATAAATTCATCACAGTCCTCACATATAACATCAATAGGTGAATCGTGGGTTTCACACATTACAATGTGCTCTTGAGGAGAGCCCAGTGGAGGTTTTTTTGTAGTTCTGGCAGCCATGTTTGTCAGGTGTTGCCTACCTGAATGACCAAGGTTTTACTCTGCATATTAGATAACCACAAAGATTGAATGTGTAGTTGGACTTTAAATTTATTCGATATGACACCAAGATGTGCAATGAATTATATTTACATTCAGTGTAATTTTCCTAATGAAATCAATTAAAAATCCATGACATTCAAATTTCTATAACACACGCGAAACCTTGTCACCGCACGTTAGAATACACAGTAGGAACTATATGCATTTTCAATACTCTAGGAACACCAAAATGTAAAATGTTTTATTTCAATTTACTGAAAAACTATAACCCTTGAGGAGAGCCCAGTGGATGTTTTTTTGTAGTTCTGGCAGCCATGTTTGTCAGGTGTTGCCTACCTGAATGACCTAGTTTTTACTCTGCATATTAAATAACCACGAAGATTGATTGTGTAGTTGGACTTTAAATTTATTCGATATGACACCAAGATTTGCAATGAATTATATTTATATTCAGTGTAATTTTCCTAATGAAATCAATTAAAAATCCATGACGTTCAAATTTCTATAACACATGCGAAACCAAATGTCACCGCGCGTTAGAATACACAGTAGGAACTATATGCATTTTCAATACTCTAGGAACACCAAAATGTAAAATGTTTTATTTCAATTTCATGAAAAACTATAACATCTCTTAGTTTCTTAAAACTATAACCCTGAAAAATTAACTTAAAAAATAACGTAATGTGTGTTAAGAATAAATTTGTCTTTTCTTCCCTCTCTTACATCTATTAACCACTGCAGTTTTCAAGGGCGCTAATTTTAATTCACATTAAAGATTAATGGAATAAGCAATTATGATGAAGGAAAATTAGAGAATGTAAATATAAGCATTGAATTCATATTTTTGGATGTCTTCGTTCCTATAACACACCTGGCCGTGCCTACAAATTATCGTACCACGCTAACGCACGGTATTCAATTTGTCGGCACGGCCAGGTGTGTTATAGGACCGAAGACATCCAAAAATATGAATTCAATGCTTATAAGTAAACACACAGAGAATACTGAACCATTAGCAAGAGATATGCATTGAAACTAGAAGTTTTTAGGTTTTGACAAGGATTGAGAATTTCATGTATATTTATTTTTCAAATAAAAATTCATGGAAGCCATTCCTGAATCAAATATGCTAAGTCTTAGTGGCACTATTAACCTTTTCTTTAAAAAGGATAATGTGAAATGATTGGTGAGACACTGATACTTGCCTTTTTTTCCTAATGGATTCATGCAAGGTACAAGTACGTGTAAATGTGAAGCATATAAAGAGCATGAAATTTATTAGGGATGCTTACTGAGTGGTCAATTAAGTCTTTCATTTAATTACAATTTTTATTTTTGCATAATAATTATGTACATGCTACTACAGGTATGTTGAATTTTAAAACAATTTCTCTGTGTAAATAAAGGAATGTTTCAGCTGAGGGAATTTAGATACATTTATGTGCAAGTCAAATAGGTAGTATAAAATGACATATTTTAATTTGATACTAATTTTGTACAGATCACAAAAGGTGGGTCTATTCTACCAGAGGGGTGTGCTGAGACAATATGTAAGGGGGTGTTTAAGGAGGTACAGGTCCAATCCTTATCACAGACAGACAGGTGTACGGTGTACAACATCTACACAGCACTACTGGATAAGAAACTCACTGGTAAATATTAATGATATTAGTATTACCTGTATTTCATAGACAGTTTGACATACACTTTCATTTTGCAAAATATAACTAGTTTTTATAGTGAAGAAATAAGGTATCATTTTTAAACATGTATAGGGTTATAAATATGTGTTGGTCAAGAGATTAAATTCCTTAAAGCCTGAAGGGCTTTATGATGAATTTAATCTCATACCAACCCGTAATTATAGCCCGATAATTGTTTTAAAATGATACCTTATTACTTATATTTACATTTGTGACTTATTCATACTTTAGATTTGCCTGATTGTGACTTTTAACGTGTGAAATGCATTATTTTTCAAACCCAACGGCATGTATGTAATCCACTAAGTGCGCGTCAACCCTTTATGCATATTATATGACGTCACAGAAATTACGTCGAACGTTTATCCATACACATATCTATGACCTCTTGACCCCTTAAAGGTTTTTATACAGTTATAGATACGCATTGCTTTCAGTAGTGTTATATAAAGGAAAACATTTGCAATTGTAAATATTATTTCATATAAAACTATAATATATAGTATTGTTGCTATGCAATACATTCCAGTGCATGTGATGTAAAAAATCTGAATTATTTTAAAGTATTTAAAGTTGAGCAAACATTCAAACATTTGATTGTCCATGTATTTTTATATAGAGATAATTTAGTTATAACTTATTGTAATTATAAGCTATTGTTTTATAGAGCTACAAGCGATGGGGAATGATTTTGTGTTTGGGTTTATTCAGTCCATGGATACAGAAAAAGATCCAAGGAATCTTCTACTAGCCTTCCACTGTGCTCGGACAATCATTCTTAATTTCTCTCTAGGTAATTATGTTACAGATATCTACCTTAATTATTACCCAAATTGATGTCTGACTGTAAAGTAACATAGTTACATTTCATTTTGTAATAGGGAAAAGAAAAACAACATGCACACTAATTTTATTTTATTTTAGACTTTAAAGTCGGGTACATCAACAAAGCTCTTCAGAGCTAATGTTCTTTGTTGATGTACCTGACTATAAATAAATATTATATTATCTTATCTTACTCCAAGGTCAACATAAGTTGTTACAATTTAAGATGACCCTAAGATTACAAGAAAAATTTGAATATGGACATGATAGAGAAAAAAGAAAAATGGAATGAATTTATGTTAATATGACAGATTTCTGATATTGACTGCCAATTCAGATGTCAGTCCTGAGTAAGCACAAAAAATATGTTTATTCATGTAATTTTTTGTGCAAAGCCATGAAGTAGCACACCATGTGTCTGCACTATGTATCGCATTTAGAAATGATTAATTAATGGTGTTCATGATATAGCGTGGTTACAGCCAGGGTCGCTAAAATACAAGTACAGGTACAGTTTGAATGGTTGAACATGACATATTGGTGATGTAACATTGCATAACTTTTTTTCTCTACCCAAATCCAAGTAACTGTTTTGTCACATGTTCAGTACTGATCTAGGTATGTGAACACTTTCACTGTGTTGCTGTCAAACTCCCCCACATAGAGGTTGTTCTCTTCATCCAATCCCAGACCACAGGGACTGTTAAGTCCGTGATTCTGATTGATCAGAAGAGAAAGGAAGTGACCATCCTGATCCAAGAGATGAATTGAGTTACCATTTTCATCGCACACCAAGATGTGACTAAAAGCGTCGGTACAGATTCCTCTAGGGCTGAATGAGGATTCGGACTGCTGGCCTGTGTAGGAGAATCTATGTTTTCCTGATTTATCGACCACCACCACACACTCCTTTTCAATGTCTGACGTACAGATATCGCCATTGTTGTTCTCGGTTAGGTAGGCTGGGAATTCGTACAGTGCTTTTATCCAGTGTTTCTTTCTGATATCCTGAAGTTTGACCCCGGCCTTGCTGTACCTGGTTACCCTGGCCTCTCTATCTTTATCCTTACTCTTTCCCATCAAGATATCCCCGTTAATTCGGGAGGAGTAAATCCCGAGGGGTTCCCAGTCTTCAGTGGTGAACAATTCAGTGACCATCTTGTCTGAAGTCACTCTGTTGATGCACTTGTTTTTTCTGTCAGCAAACAAGAGATCCCCTTCCTTCGTCATGGTGTGACAACCGACTCTCATGATCCCACCGGTGATCTGAAGTTTGTGTAGCAGGTTCCCCTGAAGATCGGTCTGGACAAGGTATTCATCAAAACTGCTGACCCAGAACCTCTTAGAGGTTTCCAAGGAGATGTGGAAAAGAAAACTAATACGAGGGACCATAATCTCCTTGATCAGAGAGACGGAGAAGGTCACCTGCTTATCAAGTCTCAGGTTTACTTTTCCTCTCTGGTGTTCTTTGCCATCCTCATGTAAGGATAGGCCTACATCAACTTCTTCACTTCTGCTCTCGATTCTAACATGTCTTCTTGCTTTTGTAACTTTTGGAAAGCTGATTTTACCAAGAAACTTCTTTATATCATCTTCAGTAAACTGACCTCCTGTAAATATGGGAAGAACGGGTTTAAATGTTTCTGGGATGGGGTCTATTTCTTCAGCTTTGTCTTCCCTTTGTTTTGAAATTAAATCTTCCTGATTTTTCTTTGCCAGTTTTGATTGGTATTTTCTCAGAAGCTCTTGTAAATATACAATATAGTTAGTAAAAGTCTTGTCCTGGGCGATTAAATCATGCAGAATTCTTTCTTCTATGCTATCTAATTCAGAAATGTTCTCAGATAATACTCTGTCCACCAGACTTTTGAGGGCATTAGCTTCAGTTGTCATGGTCTCTCGAATCAAAGCAACCATTTTCTTTACTTTTGAAACATCCTCTTTGATTTCATTCAAAACTTCATGAGAGGCTGGCAGAAAATGGTCTTGGATCCTTGACAACTCATTCTCATACATTTCAAAATTTTTGATGGAAATCTCTTCAAGATCAATAAAATGGTGGCCTGAGTGTGCCTCAGTCATCGAACATTTGTAACAGAGAGCAACCTGGCATTCCTCACATAACATGTCTAGATCTTTGGTTGGATGGTGAGGACATTTCTCCTCTCCAAGACTCTTCTGTCGGAGTTGGTACAGTATGAGGTCATGGGTTTTGGTGTCTTCGTTTGTGTGGTGTTCTGTATGACATTTGTCACACAACCTTTGATTACACGAGTTACAGTAGTATACACAGTTTTCTTCACAAATGTCACACATCAGCCAGTGCTGGGGAGTGCCCAAGGCTTCCATGGTTGACCCTGTGTATTAAATAATATTATATTATTCTATCATTGAAATCCAGACTGGTTCAAGAATAGGGCTATTACAGCGTAGTCAAATTTTTTAATAGAATGTATAGAAAGAAATCTAAGAATGTTCATTGTAAGTGAAGTAGGGTCACAATACAATTCTTCATTTTAGTATGTAACCCTCACATGGAATAAATTTTAATATGTATTCAATAACATTGCAAAATAGAAATGTTTATTCAATTCATGAACCTAAAGGCTAGGATTGAGCCACAATAAAGAGTCAAATTTATATGATCAAGTTTCATGTATATGAAAAGTAATTCATAAGAGTTTTCATAATTTTTTATGTGTATTCTTTCTTCATAAAGAAAATGCTAACTCAGGTGACCATTGGGGCCCACCTCTTGTTTTGGTTTGAGCAAAAAAAAAAAAAAAAAAAAAAAAAAAATCAGATAAATGTACAATATACAAACATCTTCATTAAGTATGTACTAGATTCTAGAGGTACCATAAATAAAGAGGCCATTGATTATTTCCTTGTAAGAGCATCTTTATTAAAGTGAGGGGTGTTGGTGGATGGGGATTCAATATTGCCCCTGATTAACTATAAAGTTAACAAAGTTTTTTCCCCCATTGATAAAGTAGCTTACAGAACTTACCTGTGTGTGCAAGGTTGAAGTGATCCTGTGCACTGTTAACAGTGCAGAAATCTTGAAGTCAGTGTTCCGTAAGGTTTTACCAGTTTTACTTCCTTCTTTTTCGCTGACTTCTTAATATGTGAATAAAAATAGATTTAAATGTCTGTATCATCTAACACAGTGACTATGCATTATACAATAGATATAACAATAGGGGACTGGTCAGGAAATTATTATATGCAGTGAAGGAAATTTTTCAATAGAAACAACTGAACAAAAAACTATTTATTTCATCTAAGATGTACATGTATTTAAGTTTTAGTTGATTTTTGTGTACTATATATTTTCATTTCAGTCATATTTTCATATCATTAGGTATTTATATGAATTATTCTTTCTTAATGTCATGCCAAAGATAAGTATTGCTACTGAAAATTATTTTAAAATTAAATTGATTAATTTAATTATATTAAAACTTTATTGAAAGATCTGGTTGATGTAATTGGAGTTACTTGCTTCTGGTAAATAATATGTCTGCAATTGTATGGTTTAAAAGAAATCAAACATGTTGAAAATTAAAACAGGGAAAAACAGAGGTGATCTGTGTAATACTTCTTTGAGGTTTATTAATTTAATTAAAGATCAGGCTCCTGGGACATAAAACTTAGATGGGCTCACTTTGATATCAGTCTCATTTTCCACTATTAATCCCTTTTGAAAAGTGAGACTTAGATCAAAAGTGAGCTCATCTTAGAGTATTTTGGCCCCAGGGCCTGAAATTGAATTATTCTTCTTTTTTGGGGATCTGTCCTGAACTGTAAATTACATGTTGTCTTGCATTACCAAAAATGTCTCCCATTAATCCAGATGACAATATGTTTTTTTTGTCCATATTGTAGGACCTTTTGTTGAAGAAATGTTTGAAGTCACATCATGTTACTTTCCCATTGATTTTACACCAGTAAGTACAGCTTGTATTCTTATTATTGATATTTCAGAATTTTAATACACAGGTTTTTATATAACTATAAATTAAAAGATGAACAAAACTTTTACTCCTTAAGTTTACTTTTAATAAATGAATGAGATTGATGTTTCTATGTGTTTAAAAAAAATCAGATGAATTCTGATTACTATATGTCAGATAAATACTTGTGTATGTGCTGTAGCCCCAATGAAGAGTATGGAATCTCCAGACAGGATCTTATTATTTCAATAATTTATGTTCACTTTGTTTATGTTACAGCCCCCAAATGATGAGTATGGAATCTCCAGACAGGACCTGATCCTGGCGTTACGTGGATGTCTGACGGCCTGTACGGAGTTTGGACCTCTGTGTGTTCCATTACTTCTGGACAAACTACAATCAGACATAGAGAGTGCTGTTCTTGACTCACTATTAACTTTGGTAAATTAAAAAGGGATAAAATAAATGCCTAACATAAAATATACTAATACCAAATACAATATATTGCATGTGAAGAGAGGACGCATGAGGCAGTTCAACAAAGAACTCTACTTACGGCTATCACTGACAACAACCTGCCCCTCCTTCCAATTGTTCCAGCCCAGTTCTTCTCTTTCTCAGACTCTCAACTGAGCGTTGCCAGGTTTTCTTTGGCTGTCCTCTTCTGTTTTTTTCCACAGGGGCCCATATATATGAGAGCTATTCTGGTGTGTGAGTTCTCTTTCCTGTAGATCTAGGATGTGGCTTATCTATCTCTATCTCTTTCCTTTGATGGTCCTTGATAAAGGTATTGATCTTGTTCTTTCATACAGGTGTTGTTTAGTTATCTTCTCAGGCCAGTGTATTTTTAGGATCCTCCTAAGCATTTTTGATGGAACATATAAAGGTTTTCGTTGTATTTCTCTGTTGTTCTTCATAGTTCAGCAGAATACAGCAACACAAATAGAACATTTGTGTTGAAGATCTGAAGTTTGGTCTTTATGCTGTATTGTACTGATTTCCATACTTCGGCAAGGGATGCAAAGGCGGTCCTGGCTAAGTCTAGCCTTCTCCCAATGTCTGCCTCTGTCTCTTCGGTCTTATCCATTGTGGCACTCCTGTAGAGAAATGGTTCGACCTTTCTCCTTTATTATTTATCCTGAAGGCATCAGTCTTCTTTCCATTTACTCTCATTTTTTTTGTTTTCTCAACATCATGTAATCTGTTGGTCTGCATGTTGCTGTGTTTGCTGGAAATAAGTGCAAGGTTGTCTGCAAAATTCAGGTCTTCTAATGAGGACATAAGTTTCCACTGTATCCCTCTCTTCTTCTTGTTGGTATTTCTCATAATCCAGTTTACCACAATTATGAACAGGAACCCAGACATAACACAACTTCACTACTGCCTGTACCTTGTACCACTCTGTTCTACCATTCTCTGTAACAAAACTAGTCTAGAATTTCCATCGTATAATTTCTTGATGATGTCCACATATATGTCAGGAATTCTGTACTGCCTTAGTATGTTCCACAGTTTTTCTTTTATTATGCTGTCAAAGGATTTTTTTTAAGTCTATGAAACTGATGTACAATGGTGCTTGCCACTCTATAGATTGTTCTAAAATATTTCTAAAATATTTCTTAGAATGTAAATTTGTTCTGATGTTCCTCTTCCTCTTCTATATACAGCTTGCTCTGGTCTTAGTCTGTCCTCTAATCCATCTCTAATTCTGTCAATCACTATTCTGCAAAATACTTTAGATGGCACTGATGGTAGTGATACTCCTCTACATTGTCACTTATTGTCAGATCTCCTTTCTTAGGTATTTTGACAATGAGCGATCTCTTCCAGTCTGTTGGTATTTCCTGCTCACTGATGATTCTGTTGAATAAATTTGTAAGCTCTGATGTTGAATATGATACGATCTCCTTTAGTAGTTCTGCACTGATGTTATCTGTGCTGGGACTCTTTCCATTCTTTATTATATGGATTGCTTTTTTGACCTCCTCCTCTCCTATTGGTGTTGTGTCAATTTTATCAATTTTGTTCATTTGGATGGTACATCCTTTAGGTTATTCTGTTGTTTCTGTTGGGACATTAAGAACCTCTTCAAAATGCTCTTTCCATCTCTCCAATATTTTTTCATCCTCAATGATTAGGTCACCATTCTTTGACCTTATGCCACTTGTCTTGTTTCTTTTTTTCCCACAAAGCTGCTTGGTCAGTTGGTAAACTTCATTCAGATGAATTTTATTTGCTGCATTCTCTGCTTGGTTAGCTGTATTTTCCAGATTTTTCCTTTTATCAGCTCTTGCTCTTCTTTTCACTTCTTTGTCTTTGGTATTTTCTTCTCCTCTCTGAACTTCCTTTATTCTCTCTGAATTTGATCCTCCTGTTTCTTTCTTTAGTTTTCTATTTTCATCTTTGGCTCTGTATGTTTCTGCAGTAATCCAGTCTTTGTGTTTCTTTTTCTTCTGGCACAAGATCTGTTCTGCTGCGTCATTATATACTTCTTTCACAAATGTCCATTTTTTTATTGATTGTGTTTTCATCATCAGCCAGTTGCTTGCACCTGTTGCTTAATTCACGTTGGAATCCTTTGCTTATTCTTTGATACTCAGATTGTTGACATCATACATCGTCCTGTTACTTTCCTTTGGCTTTAAGTTTCTGCAGACCTTCATCTTAACTTTAGCCAGTGCTAGATGGTGATCTGCCATTCAGCATTACATGGTCAATTTGGTTCCTATCTACCATGTAAGCTTGTGTATGTCAAGCTACTTGAAGAGGGTTACACAGATAATTAAGTTATTAAATGCATACATTTTGGATAACCTCATGCTGTTTTAATTCATAGTCCCAATGCCCTCTGGTCCCATGACTCTTTCTCATCTTTCATTTGACTTTCCAACTTTTGCATTTGCATCACCAATTACCATTGTTCATCTTCCCTGCACCCTTGCGAAGTTAGCCTGGGACCGAATTGTACCCAGCAAACGTCTGTTTCCACGTGGAGGCATTGCATACAATATACAGAATGATGTGTCCTAAATCTGTGCAACTTTGAAATGTATAATTATTCCAAGATAAAATAATACCCTATTTCAGTTGTATTGATAACAAAATAAGAGTTATATTGAAGTAGATTGGTTAAAAATGTAGGCCATGGAGAATTAACCTTCGTAGTTCTTTAGCAGTGCATCTCAGATAATATCAATATAATATGTTTATTCCAGTCAGCTGGTGCTATGGTTTATGGTGCTAAGTGTATCAAGGAATTCCAGACACCTCTATACCGGTGTATTAAACAGGAGGTTAGTGTCAAAATTATGACTACTTTAAATTTAAATTCAGAATTAGTTAACTTACATCATGTTCATAGTCTATACTTTGTGAATTAAAATGCTGGCCAAACAAGGTGGGTCCAACTATATTCATATAAGGACTAAATAAAAAAATTCTATATGAAATCTGAAATTGGCACCACATCGATGAAACCTTTTCATGCAACAATAGATCAGACCATTTTTTTTATGAAATTAGAGTATACATGTAAAGCAATGAATGTTGTACAGTAATATGTGATTTTCTGAGAACTGCGAAAATTTTCAGGCAAAAATGCTTCTTTTCTCTACAACCTTATCTTTTCTTACAGCTTACTGCCCCGAAATCTCCGGAGATAGAGAAGGCTGCTGAATCAGCCCTGACAGCGATATCATCAGCTCTCTCTCCTCAGGTAAAATCATACAATACATAACACACTGTACATAGAGATTACTACTGAATCAGCTCTGACAGCGATATCCACAACTCTCTCTCCTCAGGTAAAATCATACAATACATAACACACTGTACATAGAGATTACTACTGAATCAGCTCTGACAGCGATATCCACAACTCTCTCTCCTCAGGTAAAATCATACAATACATAACACACTATACATAGAGATTACTACTGAATCTGGATTGATATCATCAGCTCTCTCTCCTCAGGTAAAGGGATGCAAAATAAAGTATACAAATGTATATAGATATTCCCATCATTTGTTTCTGTATGTCAGTATTGTGACTATATATTAGACTAATAGATCATGTGATAAAATAATTAAACTTAACATGATAATCTAGTGAATTTCTTGTTTTACCTGTCCACATTTAAACAGTGTATGTTTATTATTTGTAGGCGGGACTCTCAACAGATAGCTCAGAAGTTGATGTTTTTATTAAAGAAGTCATGCAAGGTTATTTTTTCTATTCACAGAATACGTACTGTAAAATCACATATTTTTGAGGGGTCTAATTTTCGTGGTTTGGGAAAATATGTTGGTTCACCAGGATTTAATTTCATGATTGTAGAATTGTTTAGTAGTACATGTAATATAATCATATGAAAAATTGCATTTTGTAGTGGACATAAATTTGTGGGTCTCTTTGTACCTTGAAAACCATGAAAATTAGACCCCCACGAAAATGAGTGATTTCACAGTAAATATCCTAGAGACCCTAATTTTCTATTTTTCTTAATTTTTAGCCTATTTTGTTTACATCTCATTTATCACATGTATGCAAGAAAAAGAAAGTATATTAGTTTTTTTTTAATGCTATAAATTACAAATTGCGTTGATTATACTGTTTTGAAGATCCAATATTACACCGTTATGATCACTTATTTTTAGTAATAAAACATAATTTTTCGGTTTTTCAGACTGTAAGCGTCACTTTTTGGATGAGGACCTGCGACTGTTTAAACCATCCTGTAAAGTGTTTCTTGCCATTGCTAAGGGTTCTGATCATGCCTGCGGTGTGGTTATACAACAAATGGTACCCATACTAGAAGATATGTACAACAAATTTACAGGGGTAAGGATATAAACATTTAACAATACATACAACAAATGGTACCCATACTAGAAGATATGTACAACAAATTTACAGGGGTTAGGATCTAAACATATTACTATACATACAACATATGGCATTCATAATGAAAGATACATACATGTACAACAAATTTACTGAAATAAGGGTCTAAACATTCAACCATACATGTTTCATGCAAGTGGAGGAATATGCATGTAGCTTTAATTGTGAACAAAAGTTTATATGATATAATTATATACATAAAGTTATATTCAGTATTTAACCAGGCGTATTCAGGTATTTTTAATTGAATTGAATTTTGATCTTTCACTGTTATACTTAATATTGTTTTCCTTCATACAGGTAAATCAGAGGAAACAAATAATAGAAATGCTGGTTAAGTTTTTATGTTCTTCAAGAAATTTTACTGGAGGAAGAGGTATGTACAAGTATTTGTATTTAAATTCCAGCTGGTTTAATCAACCTTTAATACTTCTAAATAAATCAAATTTATTATAGAAAGTAAAATACCCTTAAAATATAATGAACTACTTCTGTTTACTTTGCAGCCCACAAAGTTGTTTCAGAGTTGATATCTTCCTCCCTGAAAATTCTGTTGTCAGCGACCTCTCAGTCCAATGTGACCTTGACCTCAACAGCTGTTCAAGGTCTGGGTGAACTTATGACCTTGCCTGATGTTCTAAAATCAGAGGATCTTAAAACAGTGTGTCAGTGTATATTGGACCAGGTGTTGAATTCTAAAGATAAAGGTGTAAGGTAAGCACAGGTAACATGTTGTAGTAAACTGCCTAGACACCTGTGTAATTCTTGAAAGTACTTGCTATAAAAAACTGAAGAAAATACATAAATGTGTAAAAGCCAGCATTAAAATATGTTTACATAAAAGTAGTAAAACAAATACTTCTAGTTTTTAAAAAATGTTTTATCAGTATTTAGCATGAATTTCATGATTGTGTCATAATTAAATATCATTAGCATATTCGTACAATTTATTCCCTTTTTTTGTAGGAATTCCTGTTCGGATCCTTGCAAGAACATGATGAAAGTTTGTCCCGAAATATCATCAGAAATTTTACCTAAGCTGTTGGATAAGATTAATCCAGGTCTATTCTTTGAATTTTTTTTAACCTAACTGCATTTTTTTTTGATAGATCATTTATTACATATCACATATGGATTAATCTTTAACAAGTATAAGCTTCAATATCATAATATTTTTATTTTAACAGTTGAAGGGGAAGACATTCTTGGTTTTGTAGCAATATTTGCTGCAGACAAAAATGTCATATCCAGTACAACACAACAGCTTCTGTCAAAACTACAGCAAGAATCTCTAGGTAAATATCTGTTTTATATAGTACTATAGGGCACTATGTTATACTACAGCAATTGAAAATGTGCATTGAAATTGAAAAAAAAATACGAAAACCATGATAAAGAAACTATTCATATTTCACCAAATTTGAATTATGAGATTAAAAAAACATGAACAATTTTTGTGTTATTTTTCAGCTATGTGCGAGTCAGCCTCACAGATCTGCCTATGGATTGTGTCGTGTTTAATTGACATTTCTGTGTATGTCAGAGGAAATTCAGATTGTGTGACTATTTTGTCTACAGAGACTATATCTAGTGTCTACAGATTAGTTGTGTCTAACGCTGTGTCTGATAATTACAGTGAAGTCTTGTCTAGTCCACAGATTTTACAGTCTTTCTCTACCTTTATAAGAAAAACTGTGATTTTATTAGATGCTGGGTATGTATTAAATTCAATTTATATTGTATACATTCCATTGTTATGTTAATCAGCAGACCAATAAAATTTTGAGTAAGTTTGAAAGTACTGACTTTTTAAATCTTTTTTAGATTTATTCATATTAAAATAATAAGTTTTGCTTTGTAGATTGTACTCCAAATTATACAACTCTGTAACGAATCTCTATTTTGATGCTGATAAAAGTGATCTAGGATTAAAGAAATCATTTTCACCTCTTGAGGTATGGTCAATTAGATTTCATGCTCTAAATCTCTCTGTCTTTATTTACCTTCCTTGTCTGGATATGTCACATAAATACTTTAACTTTTTAACTGTCCATGTGTAGGTAAAAATTTTGTTGTTTCACCTTAAAAGCAGGTGACGTCTCTTTACTACAATTGTAGGAGTGAAAAATTCTAATGTGGGATGTTAAACAACATACAATTAATCACATGTACTTTAAACTAGAGGTACTGTGAGCAATGAGCTCACTAAATGATACCCCCCACCTCCCATAATGTCCGTGTTTTGCTATTGTTTTACAGTAATGTGTAAAGAGGAATAACTCGTCTTATCAAATGTTATCCAGAAGCTTCTATATGTGACGTCATAGCTAGGATATAAATATAGAATATAATGGCAATGCCCATGTTTTGCTATGAGAAACCTAAAATACGTGTCGAATAAAAAAGAAAAATAGGAGATGCACAATGGCAATATGTAATAAAAATTCTGTGAAAGTTTAATTAAATTTCACTCAGTAGTATAAGAGGAGTTGCGGATAAGAGATAAAGCGTAACAGACGGACAGAAATCCCTATTACTATATTCCCTCCCACTTTTCAAGTGGGGGGTATAATAACAAAGTATTTAATTGACAGAGTTTATCAATTTTTAGTACTGAGTATATAATTTGTGTTTGTTGCAGTCCACTTCTCCCTTGGAGCAGACATCACTTGTCACCCTGCTGACTCCTGTTATATGCTCTAGTCCTAAACAAGTAAGTTTACAATGAATTAAATACTTTCATTCCTTCTAACTAAGTAGATGAGGTCCTGGTCTCTTTAAATTTACAACAAGAAAACATGGTATGCAATAGAATTTTGAATGTTGAATTGTAGGTTATGGTAAATCTAGGATATCAGTGACAATAATGCTGAAATCTTTATGATTATTCATGCATGTATGTTTATATATTGGAATATGTGTATTAAATAAATAAATTGTAAAAGACTGATTTTACATAATGAGATTGCAATAATGTGCCTATAATTTTTAGCTCACCTGAGCCGAAGGCTCAAGTGAGCTATTCTGATCAAAATTTGTCCGTCGTCTGTCGTCGTCGTTGTCGTCGTTGTCGTAAACTTTTCACATTTTCATCTTCTTCTCAAGAACCACTGGACCGATTTCAACCAAACTTGGTACAAAGTATCCTTGGGTGAAGGGAATTCAAGTTTGTTCAAATGAAGGGCCAGGCCCTTTTCCAAGGGGAGATAATTATGAATTAGAGAAAAATTAATGGCATTTTTAAAAAATCTTCTTCTCAAGAACCACTGGGCCAGGAAAGATGAAACTCATGTGGGATCATCCTCAGGTAGTGTAGATTCAAGATTGTTCAAATCATGACCCCCGGGGGTAGGGTGGGGCCAAAATGGCCGATCAAAGTTTTACATAGGAATATATAGGAAAAATCTTCTTCTCAATAACCACTGGGCCAGGAAAGATGAAACTCATTTGGGATCATCTTCAGGTAGTGTAGATTCAAGTTTGTTCGAATCATGACCCCCGGGGCAAGGGTGGGGCCAAAATGGCTGATCCAAATTTTACATAGGAATATATAGGAAAAATCTTAAAAAATCTTCTTCTCCAGAACCACTGGGCCAGGAAAGATGAAACTCATGTGGGATCATCTTCAGGTAGTGTAGATTAAAGTTTGTTCAAATCATGACCCCCGGGGGTAGGGTGGGGCCAAAATGGCCGATCAAAGTTTTACATAGGAATATATAGAAAAAATCTTAAAAAATCTTCTTCTCAATAACCACTGGGCCAGGAAAGATGAAACTCATGTGGGATCATCCTCAGGTAGTGTAGATTAAAGTTTGTGCAAATCATGACCCCCGGGGGTAGGGTGGGGCCAAAATGGCCGATCAAAGTTTTATATAGGAATATATAGGAAAAATCTTTAAAAATCTTCTCAATAACCACTGGGCCAGGAAAGATGAAACTCATTTGGGATCATCTTCAGGTAGTGTAGATTCAAGTTTGTTCAAATCATGACCCCCGGGGGTAGGGTGGGGCCAAAATGGCCGATCAAAGTTTTACATAGGAATATATAGAAAAAAATCTTAAAAAATCTTCTTCTCAAGAACCACTGGGCCAGGAAAGATGAAACTCATTTGGGATCATCTTCAGGTAGTGTAGATTCAAGTTTGTTCAAATCATGACCCCTGGGGGTAGGGTGGGGCCAAAATGGCCGATCAAAGTTTTACATAGGAATATATAGGAAAAATCTTCTTCTCAAGAACCACTGGGCCAGGAAAGATGAAACTCATTTGGGATTATCTTCAGGTAGTGTAGATTCAAATTTGTTCAAATCATGACCCCTGGGGGTAGGGTGGGGCCAAAATGGCGGATCAAAGTTTTACATAGGAATATATAGAAAAAATCTTAAAAAATCTTCTTCTCAAGAACCACTGGGCCAGGAAAGATGAAACTCATGTGGGATCATCCTCAGGTAGTGTAGATTCAAGTTTGTTCAAATCATGACCCCCGGGGGTAGGGTGGGGCCAAAATGGCCGATCAAAGTTTTACATAGGAATATATAGGAAAAATCTTTAAAAATCTTCTTCTCAATAACCACTGGGCCAGGAAAGATGAAACTCATTTGGGATCATCTTCAGGTAGTGTAGATTCAAGTTTGTACAAATCATGACCCCCGTGGGTAGGGTGGTGCCAAAATGGTGGATCAAAGTTTTACATAGGAACATATAGGGAAACCTTTTAAAATCTTCTTTTCAAGTACTTCAAAGACAGGCTTCGTTATATTTATAGGGAATCATCCTCAGGTAGTGTAGATTCAAGTTTGTTCAAATCATGACCCCCTGGGGGGGTGTAAATTTCAAGTGCCCCCCCCCCCCCCAGTTTACTTTCAGTTCTGATCTGATCTGTGCTTTTTCCGAGCCAATTGCTCAGGTGAGCGATGTGGCCCCTGGGCCTCTTGTTAGTAATGTAACTGTAATTTCTTCCAGTATACTCTGCCTGATGTTAATAAATACAGGGACACACTCTGTGACTTGTCACTAAGAAGTAACCATGACTACACAAAATCTGAGGCAGCTAAATGTTTGGCTGGAATTTTAAACAAAGCAACAGATGGTAAATTAGTTTTTAGGATTTCTTCTTTAAATTTCAATGTCTTGTAAGAATTTTTAGAAATTATCTGCATATTAAATAATTCTCCTGTGCCTATTTCTCAAAGGAATAATGCCTAATTACATGATGAATATCATCAAATTCTTTTATCTTTTAAACAGATGAGGAGCTGACAGCATTCTTAATAAGTAGATGTGAATTTTACGAACAAACTTTGACCTCTGACAGCAAAGACACCTCATGTCTACAGCAATGTGTCTGGGTCACAAAGGCTCTTGTCATGAGGGGACACAGAGAGGCCAGCAAGTTTGTAAAAATTGTAAGTTGTCAGGAAAGTTAAAAAAATGAAATCATTTATGAATTTTAAATTTTTTCTGCAGTTTGTTGTCAAATTAAGTTGCTTAATGTTTGATAAAAACAGATTTGTACGTCACTAGAAAAGCACAAAAAGAAATCAAGCTTGCAGTTTAGATTTTTAGCAGCTTATAAAGGAATGATATATAACCAAAAAAAAATAAATCTATTCTCAGGCTGGTAAAGCTTTAATTTTTATAATGCTTGACACTTTCTGTACTACACTAGCTTCTGAGGTTGCTGGGAAGTGAGACACTAGGTGATCATGCGGCTGAGGGATTTGGAATCCTTCACACTGAGTATGAAGATGTCCTCAATCCCACCATGCATGCTAACATCCGCTTCCTGTACAAACAGCGATTCTTCACCGAAAACTCCGCCCGACTGACTGAAGGCTTTAAGAACGCTTCATCTGGTAACTAATAAAATATAGATGTAGGCATATAAGATATATACAGCAAAACTCATTTAGTACGAACACGGATATAGTGAATTTACGGATATAACGTAGTCATCTTGGATCCCTAGCTACATAAATTTAATGAATTTCTTATACGGTTATAACGAATTACTGATATAGCGAAGTGATTTCATAGGACCCTGTGACTTTGTTGTAACCGAGTTTTGCTGTATTTAGATGTATAAGCCAAGATTTTTTTAAATAGTAGGGGTATATTTAACTTGCATCCTATGAGCATTTTATGGTTTTATTTAACAATTAATAGCTTAAAAACAAAGATACTTCTTTTTCTAGAGACAAAGAAGAATTACCTGATAGCTCTGTCTCATTGTCTGAAATCTCTTCCAAAGTCTGTTCTTGTCAGAGAACTACCTCAGGTAAAGCTATCTATAGAGAAATGCACATGCACATAAGTACTCATAGTACTGCACTTATTTGGGTCTGTCCGTCCATCATTCTGTCTGTCTGTAACACTTTCGTTTCCACATATCTCGAGAACCCTTTGAGCTTTTGCAACGAAATTTTGCATATCAACTCCCTATGGACTAAAGAAGAACCCTAATGATTTTGAGGTCAAAAGGTCAAGGTCATAAATTCGCAAATTCTGTCTGTTATAACGCTTTCGTTTCCACACGATATCTCGAGAACCCCTTTGAGCTTTCGTGATGAAATTTTACATAAAAACTCCCTGTGGCCTAAAGAAAATCCTTATTTATTTTGAGGTCAAAAGGTCAAAGTTCAAGGTCGTAAATTTATACATTATGTCTGGGTGTAACACAATCCTTTCCGGGCGATATTTCAAGAAGATGTTGCAATTTTATTTTATACCAAAACTCCCTAGGACCTCTCTCACCCACTCAAAGTGTCCTGCCCCGTTTTTTTTTTTTAGTACTTATTGTATTACATGTGGCTATATATGTTTAGCACAGGGGCATGAGGAGAATTATTATGTATAAAACAGGTTCTCGGCGGAGTTTATATTTTTATTACATTAGAACTGTTTAATAAAGGTTAAATTAGACACCATGCATTGTGTAAAATTTTGACAATATTGAACGTTAATATAAATAAATAAATGTATGTGACTTCATCTTTGCATATAACTTTCACTAGTGTAAAACAATTGCGTAGTCCAGTGGTATGTCTCTCGCTTCACATGTGAGAGATCCTGGGTGCGAATCCCGGATGATCCATTTTCTTTTTTTTTTTCGAAATACTTTTTTTTTTAACTAAATGATAGTATTCAGCATGTGAAATGAAAAATTTATGAGGTCTGGCTTGTACAAACTCATGAAATCATCATTACAGTGTGATAGATATTCCATATAAAAAGAATCTTCTATACACATAATAAAAAATAAGCAATCAAATCTTTATATGCATATTGACATACATGTATTTTATTTGCTTCAGTATACATGTTTACATTTAATAGTTCTACAAATTCAGTCAGGGGGATCCAACTTTTTCCCTAAGCGGGGGACACGAAATCTCTGAATTAGCTTGTTATTCCCTATGTTGGTCCATCCTTTATAACTTGTGCCTAATTAGTCACATTTTCATTGTATAGTTATTCCCCATGTTGGTCAGTCCTTTATAACTTGTGCCTAATTAGTCACATTTTCATTGTCTAGTTATTCCCTATGTTGATCCAGTACCTGATAAGTCACATTTTCATTGTCTAGTTATTCCCTCTATTGGTCAGTCCTTTATAACTTGTGCCTAATTAGTCACATTTTCATTGTCTAGTTATTCCCTATGTTGATCCAGTACCTGATAAGTCACATTTTCATTGCCTAGTTATTCCCCATGTTGGTCCAGTCCCTACTGTGTGATAATGTCCAGCTACAACAGTCCACTATGGAGACACTGTGTACAATGATCACTGATGCCCCAAACATCATTGTCAAACATGTGGATACAGTGATTCCTCAGCTGTTGAAACTTTCATCCTACAAACCATCAATGGTAGGTAAATCAACCTGACATTTTACAAACCATATAAACCAGCTATGGTAAGATGGTAATTACAGTACATGTATAAGCTTATCAAACTTTTCAAATTCATTTTCAAGGTTGTTCTAATTTTGACGCCCTAAATAGATTTTGGTTACAATAGTATACCACTGTTTAAAAAAATCTTAAGAAAGCAAAGCCTTGTTCAATTCCGGTAGGGTGGGTCCCAGATAAGTATAATAATTAGGAAAATTTGGTGAAGAACAACAATGTCAAAGTTACCTAGGTGAGTGTTGTGGTCCATGGGCTTTTTGTTTTCCAGGTTTATAGTTTGATTTTAAAAATAATACTAAATCATAACCAAGAGATAAATAATGATTTTTTTTTAAACATCACAGAAAGTAAGATGTGCTGCTTTGAGGTGTTTACATGAGTTGGTGTGTCTCCCCTCCCCCGTGATCTTACCGTACAGACCCAGTGTGATAAAAACCCTAGAGGGGGTCCTGGACGACAAGAAGAGACTTGTGAGACTAGAAGCTGTAAAGGCTAGGAACGAATGGTGTGTAGTCTTGTTATAGTAAATGGCAAATATTGGACTTTGATGATCTCTAGATGAATCAATAAGTCAGATATGTCAGATATGGAGTTAGTGTAAAACCAGGAAGTGTATTTAGCCTGTTAGGACCGAGGGTTTCAGAAAATTGAAAATTTTTCACATTAACCATTTCATGCTTTAGCATTCATACTTTTCCACTAGTCTTGAAATATTATGTCATTAGCTAAACACCATTGCAATTGTCGCTGTCAAGCCCAACCTACATTTTATTACATGTATTAGATCTGATCAAGATCTTATGACTAAATTCTTCTGTCCTTGTTGCTCTAAAAATATATGTAATACAGATCAGTCACAAATAGAAATTTATCTTAAGTACCACAGACGGGTAAGGTTGTTATTTACTGATGATGAGCTTCTTCTTTTTCAGGTGTTTGTTGGGACAACCTGGAAGCAGGGCATGATATGGAATTATAGTAATAATATGTAAATAAATGTATCTTATGAAAGAAGAAATGTCTTACTTATTATTAATTTTATGAAAACAAGAAAAACAAAAGGAAACAGAAATGTGTGCCAGGCATGGGAATTGCTTTTTTCACTGCAGACTTTCTCCACTTTTGTGTAGCACTGTTCTTCTTACAAGGACTAGCATGTGAATGATGAAGGATATACACACAAAATATGTTAGTAAGCTAACAAAATTCAAACCAGAGGTACTATGAGCACTGAGCTAACTAAATGATACATGTACCCCTACCTCCCATATAATTCTAATAACGAAGTCCATTTTTGCTTTAGGCTACCCTAGGTAATTGTTGGATTAAAAAGTAAAAACAGGAGGTACACAATGGCATTACGTATTTATCTATGAATCATTTAATTTTAATCAGTGGCTTAGGCGGAGTTGCAGATAAGAGATTGGTGCCCCTTAATATTAAAGAAAGAATGATAAAATCCACGTATGTATCGGATCAAAAAGTAAAATAGAAGGTGCGCAATCGTACTATGTAACACAGATTTGATGAAAGTCTTATACAAGTTCATTACATGGTATAAGAAGAGTTGCGAATGAGAGATTGGTACCTAAAAGTGTAACGGACATACAGACAGACTGTTGGATGGTCAGATGGACGGAAATGCCCATCACTATATACCCAACCACTTTTCAAGTTAGGCATATAATTAAAGGTACTTGGACACAGATTTGAAGTTAATATTTTCTCTATAATATTACGACTTATATATTTTAATAGCATTTCACACAAAAATTAATTAAAAATCTTGTTTCATATAAAAGATATTCAAATTTCAAATTTTTTTGGCGGGTTTGATTGACACATCCTTGCGCTTTCACAAATTAATTTTATTCTTAATCCTTAGGAAAAAGTGGCAATCTTGTTGTGTATAAATGAAAAATATTAATACTTTAATCCAGAAAATTCAGAGTAGACATGTTCGAAAGCAAAACAAACACGCAATATATTGTCAGTCCGTGCAGTTGTGGTAAGCAGACTGTGACGTTTGAAAGCACCCGTAGAATTATAAACATCAACAATAACAGAACTCGTGCCCTGTTTACAAAAAACTGTGTACATAACACGAGTGTGCTCGATTTGCTAAACTCTGTACGCAACTCTTAGTTCGGAATGACGATACTTTTGAAGGAGTTTTGCTTTCTAACATTTTTACTCTGAATAAAATCATTTTTCTGGATAAAAGTTTTAATATTTCTCATTAATACACAACAAGATTGCCACTCTTTTCCTAAGGATTAAGAATAAGGTTAAAATTTGTGAAAGTGCAAGGATGTGTCAATCAAACCCGCCCAAAAATTTGAAGTTTTAATAACTTTTAAACATGTTTAAATGAAATAATATTTTCAATTAATTTTTGTGTGAAATGCTATTAAAATATATAAGTCGTAATATTATAGAGAAAATATTGACTTCAAATCTGTGTCCAAGTACCTTTAAGCTCCCTTACCGAAAATATTGCCTTCTTGCAAATATTTGTTACAAGTCTACAGCAAACATTGCTGTAAACTTGCAGCAGACATTGCTGCAAGCTTGAGGCAATGTAGCTAAAGAAAGCATGACTAAACAAGACTTGGTGTTTGCAGCAAGTTTGCTGCAAGTCTGCTTTTTTATGAACAGAACATGAAAAACTTTACATATAATTTTTAATTAAATAATACACTGATTACAGCTACTTATTCATTTGAAAACATTTAACTGATTTGGGTCCATTAATACATTTAAGAAGTTGACATATGTGATGTTAAAATGAGGATTGTAATTCATAATAAATAGATTTAGATTTACATCAGTTACTCAAATATGCTTTTAAGATTTTTTTGTTTTTCATATCAAAATAAAACAAAATCAGTTCTTACAAATCAGCTATCATGGATGCCAATGAACGCCTATATCCAGAGTGTTTCACTGTTAATCATGCATTCAAAACGGTATATATTCCTAACATAATACTGAAACATGTACAACTTCAATTCAAACATTTCAAAATGGCCAGTTCTGTGTTGACCCCAGTACAATCCGCATTTCATTGGCTGATTTGACTTGTTTACAGTTCTTGCAAACTTCCTGAAAGCATTCAAATCATAAAATGTTTCCTGCAAACTTGCTGCGAACATAAAATTGGCGTGTATGTTTCTTGCAGTATGTTCCTGAAACATGTTGGGTTCCTGCCAATTTGCTGCAAGCTTGCAGCAGTTTGCTGCAATGTTTGCCAGAAGATCACAGCTAGCGGCAATCATCTGCGAACAAGAAAATTTTCTTCCTGCGAACAATTTTGTTGCTACAAGCTTGCAGCAAACATATCAGTTTGGTATTTTTTTGAGTTTTAATCAACATTATACCCTTGGAGAGGGCCTATATAGGCTATGCCTGCAGCCCAATCAGTTTATGTATTTCTTGCATAATTAAATATGTTCAATCAAATATCAGCTTGGTTAGGGAGTGTATTATTTAAGGGGAAACCCATTATTATCACTCAGGTGTTATGATTTTATTTTTGTCATCAACATGACTAAATATACAATTGAGGTACAAAAATCATGCATATATAACAAGCTTTCCATGCAATATGTATGGATAATATTGTTTCATTATACTTTTGTGTAAGTAAGTTACAATCAGGTGTTGAGGGGAATACTGACACTGGTGAGTATAACTCTATACAGTCCAAGGTGTTGAGGGGAATGTTGACACTGTAAGTATAACTCTATACAGTCCAAGGTGTTGAGGGGAATACTGACACTGGTAAGTACAACTTTTTACAGTCCCAGGTGTTGAAAGGAATACTGACACTGGTAAGTATAACTCTATACAGTCCTAGGTGTTGAGGAGAATACCGACACTGGTAAGTATAACTCTATACAGTCCAAGGTGTTGAGGGGAATGTTGACACTGTAAGTATAACTCTATACAGTCCAAGGTGTTGAGGGGAATACTGACACTGGTAAGTACAACTTTTTACAGTCCCAGGTGTTGAAAGGAATACTGACACTGGTAAGTATAACTCTATACAGTCCTAGGTGTTGAGGAGAATACTGACACTGGTGAGTATAACTCTATACAGTCCAAGGTGTTGAGGGGAATGTTGACACAGGTAAGTATAACTCTATACAGTCCAAGGTGTTGAGAGGAATACTGACACTGGTAAGTATAACTCTATACAGTCCCAGGTGTTGAGAGGAATACTGACACTGGTAAGTATAACTCTATACAGTCCCAGGTGTTGAGAGAAATACTGACACTGCTTAGTGTAACTCTATACAAGTGTTAAGGGGAATACTGACACTTGTAAGTATAACTCTATACAGTCCAAGGTGTTGAGGGGAATACTGACACTGGTAAGTATAACTCTATAGAGTCCATGGTGTTGAGAGGAATACTGACACTGGTAAGTATAACTCTATACAGTCACAGGTGTTGAGAGAAATACTGACACTGCTTAGTGTAACTCTATACAGGTGCTGAGGAGAATACTGACACTGGTAAGTATAACTCTATACAGTCCCAGGTGTTGAGAGGAATACTGACACTGGTAAGTATAACTCTATACAGTCCTAGGTGTTCAGAGGAATACTGACACTGGTTAGTATAACTCTATACAGCCCCAGGTGTTGAGAGGAATACTGACACTGGTAAATATAACTCTATACAGCCCCAGGTGTTGAGAGGAATACTGACACTGGTAGGTATACTGAAAGGAAAAAGAAACGCATATTTTACTTTTAAATTAAATTCAAACTATTATTTCGAAAATGTTTTCCAGTATTGTTATCAAACATTTTAATTCATCTTTAATCTACACGTTACCAAAATCTTGTGTGACTTTGACTGATAATTCCTGAGTTATTGAAATTGATATGTCGATACCCCCCCAAAATTAAAATAAAAATTCTCATAATCTCCCTTGCACATTGGTAACAGCCTTGATTTCCCTGTGCATTGAGTTCACCAGAGCATTTATCTTTCTCAATTGATTATTAATCGACCCTTCCGACAATAGTCTTAATGGTTGATAGTAGCTGTATTATTCCAAAGCCAACAAATCCCCCCGCCAAATGAGTGCCACGAATTTTCATTTTAGGATAGAATTTACAGAATCCAGCTGGTTTGGTACATGTGAATGTTTGTGAGAAAGTCTCGACAAACACTGGCTACATTTTTCCAGTGTGAACATGCTAAAAACATTACACACACGGCGCGTACGTGCGCGCGTGAGAGTAAAATCGACGTAAAAGTTGCCAAGCTCGCGGACCAAATTAGAGCAGAGGATTTCTGTCAATTTTAGGGTGAAAATATTGGTATGATAGTTTGATGTATAAATATCGGTTTCAGTGATAATACCTTGACAATACTGAGGTGACATGATGAAAAGCCCTGTCTTGATGTGACGTTGTTACGCGTCAACGTCACCGCCATGGTTGGTTGGAAACCTTTTAATAAACTCTCTGACAACTGAAAAACCCTTTTTTGTTGAAAAGTTTAAAACAAACTGCACAGCAACATCCTGTTGCCTTTTTATTCACTTACGCAATTCAATTACTGGAACCAGTGTAACTTCCGTCAGCCATACCATGATTGCACGAAATTTTTACTGATTGCAAATGCGGAAAACGATGTCTATAACTCCAATGCATCGATTAGCACTACAAAATGTGATCATGAAATTGTCATCATCAACATGCACGTGTTTTTGGCTTTTTATCATTTCCCCTACGTGATGCCAAACATTTCATGGTTGAGTAGTTTTGACCAGCAATTTTAATGCAAAGTAACAAAAATACATATATGACCAATTTTCATAATTTTCGGCCACATAGTCATTGATTTTTCGCACATTATGTTCTTATGCGTTTCTTTTTCCTTTCAGTATATAACTCTATATATACAGCCCCAGGTGTTGTGGAGAATACCGACACTGGTAAGTATAACTCTATACAGTTCCATGTGTTGAGAGGAATGTTGACA